TACCCCCATTTTATCACTGGCCTGTGTATCATTTGATGGGTTTTTTTGTTTTTGTTTTTCTTCTGGGCTGGTTTCCCTTACACCGCTCTATGCAGATGAACTCAGGCTGGGCATGCATACTGACATTCGAACAGCCATCCGTCCATCCATGGTCAGCTGTCAGACTGTAAGTCATTCCCAGGCTAGGCTCCTCTGAGTTAAGGTGCCCACACACACCTTACAATTTATCTGCAGATTTTCTGTGGTCAGATGGGAAAAGTGCAACAGATTGGCCCAGGTGGAGATTACTCCATCCACACAGTTTAATGTAGATGGAGGAATCTGTTGCACCTTTTCCATCTGACCACAGAAAATCTGCAGATAATTGTAAGGTGTGTGGGCACCTTTATACTCTGCATTCTGAAGTATACCAGCCTTGTAGACCACAGGGAACATGACTAGTGCCAATTTGTTTAACAGGAGCCCTTGGATCCACAATATTTAGAAATGTGAACATCTCTGCGAATTAGAAGTTATAGAAAATAGTTTAGACCATATTTCTCCTTTTTTAATGTACATTTCCATTTTTTTTTCTACAGGGTTTTGGCTGGTGTGGACGATAATAATTATACTCAGCTGCTGTTGTGTTTGTCATCATCGGCGAGCCAAGCACCGTCTTCAGGCACAGCAACGGCAACACGAGATCAACCTCATAGCTTACCGCGAAGCGCACAGCTACTCTTCTGTGCCATTTTACTTCCGTACGTTACTGATTTACCTATGTATATGCTTGTATGTATGCTGAAGGTTTCTAGCTGTCTAGGATTGTGACTCTCTCTACTATGTCCTGTTTATTTCTGAGAGCAAGTGGAAGGGTGGGGAAAAATGAATGCATTTAAAGCTCCTCTGTCCATTAATCAAAACGCAATTTAATAACAGACCGTTCACAATACTATGTGTGCCATGTGCTATTGCTTTGGCTAATTCAAAGAACAGATCGTCTTGCATTATCAACACAAATACCATATGCAGTATTTAGGTTGCTTCCATAAAAATATGTGAACATCTATTTACAATGGTTATAGCACTGGATGTTGGTCTTTTAGTGTCCCTGTCACTACAGTCACCTTTGTCCCCTAGTTGTAGGTGTACAGGTGATTGGTACTTGCCTTTCTGGGGGCTGTTGTGGTGAAATGCCGCTGCTTCACTGCTCCCTGGCCTCAGCAAGTATTTGACCCTTTAGGTGTGTTTTAATACTTCTTGCCCCGCTATACACTGTGGTCCCTCCTGCCGGCTCGTACATCTTGAAGTGAGATATGAGCTAGCAAGATGATCTACAGCATTCAGCGAAGGAGCAGGTATTCTACACACCTGGAAGTGGTGGCATTTCAACGCACCAAAAGACAGGCAGGTATAGAACCTGATCTTTTACAATCTGGACATTAAAGGGTTATTAAACCCTCAGCGTTTTTTGCATATATCTACTGCTAGCAAGCAGTAGATATATGCAAAGACTTTAAAAAACAAACAAAAACAAAAACCTTGTTCAAACAAGTTTAAACTTACCTGTGTCTTCGCCACACGCTCCCGTCCGAACATCTGAAGAGTCGCACATCAAGGATCATGGGGCGGGCACATGCACAGTTCAAATCTTCGGCTGGGAGACTAGGAGAGACACAAGGCAAGTCTATGGAGCAGCGTTCACCCGCACAGACTCTGTGGGACAGGCAGTGCCAGCTAGCACAGAAGAGTCAGCGCTGGATCGGAGACCAGCACCAGCGCTGGAGGGACCGCTGAAAACTACGTAAAGAAGATGATCGGATCATTTTAATGTAAGTCCTTGCACTAACATTGGGTGGGGAGGCATTATCCTTTAATGTCACTTTAAGTTTAAGTAACCCTGTAGTGATAGGGACACTTTAAAATTATCCATAGCTTCTGCCTGCAAAAAGTTTTAAGGTTCTGTGAGGTACCTGTTGAGGAGAGCATGAAAACGAACAATTCCAGGTGTGGTAAAAACGCACTTATGTGATATTTCGCTTTTTGAATTGTACATTTTTGATGATAAAATTGGTAAAATAAAGTGAATCAATTATACGTATATTTCTATGCATTTGGTTTTGTGCTTTAAATATACCACTTAGGGTGACTACTAAAAGCCAAAAACATTACTAAGCTATGAACTAACTAATGATTGCGCTTGTCTGTGTTTGCAGGGTTTTTGCCAAACTATTTGCTACCTCCTTATGAAGAAGTGGTGAACAGACCTCCAACTCCTCCTCCTCCATACACTGTCTTACATCAGCAGTGCATTGCAGCATGTTCTAGTGCTGTAGCCATTGAACCCGTTCGAACCGGGCAGCACAGCCAAACAAGTTCTCCAGCTGCAGCAAGTTGTAGTGAAACTCGACCCCCGAGTATCGTAGATTGCGAACCTTCAACAACTTGTTCAGAGAGGGTGGCATTCAAACCAAGCGGCCTTGAGTCTAACGACCCAACCAGTGGTGCTGAGCTGGATGAGATGGCAGATCAAGTGTCCTTCTTAGACAAGGAGTCAAAAGAATTCTTAAAGGACTACAGCTCTGAAAGCTTTGATCAGAACGGTTTCTTTGATGGCAAAGACAAAACACCCGGCAGACACCGAAGATTTACCGGTGACTCGGGCATTGAAGTATGTCTGTGCAGTCGGGGCCATCATTATGACTTTAAAGAACTCGATGGTTTAATTGATGACACAGGTGAAAACTTCTGTGACACCTGCACGTCATGCGACGCTCACCCCCACAGAGACGAAGAAGAAGGGATATTTGATCATGCAGAGGTCTCTCGAGATCTGGATCATCCACGACAGCCTTTGAGCTTGCTGAATACCATCAATGAGCAAGACTCGCCAAATTCTCACAACAGCAGTAGCTCCCGTGGCTAAGGGATAATCCGTTCATGCTGAACAGCATCAATGAATGATCCCGTACCACATCCTTCTTTTTTTCTTTTCTTTTTTTTTTCCATTGTCCTGTTAACAAAAAAACACAAAAAACTTGGTAAAGATTCTACCGAAGCTGGAGAGAAGACAACATTAAGTACATACCCAATGCTTTAACTGATGCCTTTCCTAGACAGAGCTTTGGTATGGATGACTTTGGTGATGGAATAGTAGGACAATAAAAGCAGAAGCTGGAGCTTAATGCATACAGGTGGAGGCTTAAGCATGCAAAATGTCCAGATTTTAATGCATTTGTTTTATATGAATAAGAGCTTCTCTCCTTGTTTCATTGCTCCTCTCTTATAAGCTATTCTGTCAGAATCCCAACACGTTGGCTCTGATGGCCTTAGAGCTTCCTGGAAATGTTAATATTAGATGGATGAGAGTGGAACGTTACTTTTGTCAACTGATAGGATCTAAGCGAGAGAGACGAGAAATGGATATGCGCCAGTATTGTGATGGAAGGATGTGAACAAATAAAACCACAGGCGGGAAGGGGGGGTGGGGGGACTTCAGTGTTTTTGTAGCAAGGGGTGTTTAAAGTGTTTGCCTTTACATTATATAGGTGCAAGCAAACACTAACCCCTAATATTTTTCCACTACTAGTTGACATCCCAATGTTACATGGTGGAATTCCATAATTCACCTCAAGGGGTAGGGGGGGAAATCTTGTGCATCGTTCTCACTATTGTAGAAAATGGGTAATTTTCTAGCCTTAAAAAAAATATAAGCTTTTTCTTTTCCCCCTTATTTTCCCTTTTTCATAACTAAAGTGGGAAAGCCGCAATTATTTTAGATATTTTTTTTTTTTTTTTAGTTTTGTTCGTTTTTTTATGTCAAATGGACATAATGAAAAATCCAATTGTGCAGCTGGTCTGCTCAGAACATACTGTAGTTGCCTCTTACACCGCCTTTCGGAGGCCGCTGTAGCGCACATAGATTATTGTATGAGTTGGAAGTCACAAATGATAAGCAAGAGCTGTCCCAGGTGCTTACTTCCAGTGGACTTGGCACTAGCGGTATCGCACGCAGTAGAACACCAGCTCTCCATCCATTTTCTACGATGAGCACAGCTACTTTGTATGAGCAGTATTTTCATGTGTTATGTTGGAAACAATGCAGATTCTGAAATGACCACTAAAAGAAAGCTGATATGGTCACAATGATTTTACCTATGCGAATGCATACTTGTGTAAGTCTGTATTCCATACCGTAAGCTAAGCAGTAGTAATGTTACTGCAGTTTAATTTACGAGATTTTGTTTTTAATTTCTTTTTTCTTAAACAGTTGAACATTCCCTTGATTGAGACAGAAGAGTCAGGAATTGTCTTTACAGAATCTATTGGAGATTATATACTCTTATTCAGCTGGTGACTGTTCAACCCATATGTTACTGTTGATTGACGCAGACGTAAAGGGGTTTTTAGGTTTAACTGAAATTCTCCTTGCTTGAGACTCCTCTGTGCAGATAGGTAGAGTGAGCTTTCACTTATTACTCAGCTTGTGAGGTTTTACCAGCATCGGGAGCTAAAATTTCAGATTTGACGTGCAGTGCCACCTGTGGGTGAAATCTTGTATTATGGTATGACCAAAAACAATAGAGGGAGGCCTAAGCACTGTAAAGAAGAAGGGGCCCTCTGCTGTCAGAATGTTTTTGTTTTTTGTTAGGTTATTACATAGATGGGTCTCAGGCAATCCGGGGATTTCCATCAATAATGGAAACCCCCTTCATAAATGTGCCTTTCACTCAGGCCATTAGAGGAAGCTAGCTTGTAGGGTGAAGCGCGTTTCAAAGAATATAGGTTGTCATTTTCATAGAAATGAGCGAACGTGTGTCCACGCTGTCATTTCACTACTTACTGGTGAATTGGTAGGTTTTATTGGCTCAGCCCCAAGATGGCTGCCTCACTGTGTGCATGTAATGAATACATTTTAAGAAGGTTCACTGCTACCAAATCTTTTCTTGAAATGTACTTTTTTGTGCTTAGGGAAAATTTTAATATTACATTTTATTCAATTGCAAAAAAAAATGTGCACTTCTGATACTTACAACAAAATATCTATGTGGCAACACGCATCGACATTGACAACTTTCTTGCACTGGATTTTGTCATTTTGTTGATTAATTAAAGGAAACTTTTTTGAGAATAAATCTGTGTATTGTCTGCTTGTCTTGCTGATTGTGCTTGCTTGCAGCAGGAAAGGTGAGTATTTACTGACTCCTTTTACAGGTATCCCATTTTCTTCTGTAGTATAGCGACAGGACATATTGTCAAACTGCAGGGCTTCATACAGTATTTCTTTGCTGGTGTTCACAGCACACTGGGTCTGGAGTGCAGGACCTAAGGCAATAATTAAAGCGCCAGTATCGGTTTTTGGTATTGGAGCATTGGCATTAATACGAGTACTCATGCAAATGCTCAGTATTTGCACCAAAGACTGGTATCCGTATCTGTGCATCCCTAAAAAGAAAGTATAAAATAAAAAAAGTAACAAATCAAATCCACGCACATAATGAAGATGCAACTACAAAGAACATTAAATTAAATGAACTAAAAAGCCATAAATGCAGCCCAAACACCCCCTATAAATTAAGAAAAAAGGTAGTTTTTTTTCCCAAGCTAATTTTGCCTAAGTAGCTCAATGAGCAACACTGATGTAGGTTATGTGATATTTGTATGACTAAGTATGTCTGCAAATTAATGAAACTTCTAAGAGATGGTGTAGCCCCTGTGTCAGCTATTATTTCAGCAAATTCTATTCTAAAGGCAAATTTTGGGATCCAATAAATGCAACACTGTCTGGGGGAGAGAAACCCCCCCCCCCAAAAAAAACAGGTTGCCTGGAAATTGCTTGAAGTTTGCGTTCTGCACATTCCTTTTCCCACCTCAGATAAATAAAGCTGTATTTATATTCTATAACACCAACTGAGAGATAGCAAGCTCAAGAATTTCTGCACCGTATTCAGTATAAGGTAATCACCATTTACTTGTGCCTTTTTGTAGCTTTTGGTGCGGTGTATATATAGATATCTAAATATACATGTATATATAGATATCTGTCTCTTAATTATATAACTGTGCTTAAGCGATTGTATGGTGGTTTTGGACATATTTTCTTCTGAGCGGGGCCAAAAATATAAATTTTCACTAAAATATTTTCTTTATTTTCAGTTAGCTAAATATCCAAAATTGCCTATGACTTTTTGCGTTCTTATAACCATCCAGCAGATGGGCTTCAGGCTAATTTTTACATCTCTGTCTGAAGTTTTAATCAGAGACAATAAGTCTGATTTAATAAAGGAGAAGAGTATTTTTACACAATAAATAAAGTAAATATTTGCACAATTTGTGTGCAGATTCTCAACTCCTCAGCCCACGTGTCTAAAATGAAATCACTTCTGCTAAGCGCTCTCATTAGAATACTGACCATACTCTGGGAATACTTTGACCTGTATTAAAAAGTTTATTTGTAAAACAAAGATTGTGTGTGCATATTTAGTAAAACATTAGTCATCTGGGACAAGCATTTAGATAAGGACGTCTGACTTTTCTCTTGCAATCTGTGTGTTTTTTTAAACTGGTTTACTTTAAAGCTAAAGTCCAGGCAAATATAATTTATTATGGCCATATTTATTAATACAGGCTTGCTTAGTGCTGCCAGTCTAACACTGGCCACATGCTTACAGGAGTTGAGGGCAGATGACTGTTAGTGTGCTTCTGTTCCATTGCTGTCCAGGGAGGCAACACCACTGTATTCCATAAAAAAAAATCTTTCTTTGGAGAAACATGGAGGAGGCCGTTGATTTCTCCTTTTAAAATGTTGTTTTTTTGTGTGGCTTTTATGCTAATCTTCTATTACTGACTGGGAAGAAACACGCAGCATGTGAAAAACCAGAAGCTAGAAGGTTTGCAGGAAGAAGGTTTGAAATTGCAACCCCTGTACTTTTCTCAGGTCAAGTTCCCAGTTGTTGAGGTTTTGGAGTGAAAATGGTTTAGAACATCTGTCAGCATGTCACTCTCGTATATGTGTCCTTCGTAGGGACCTTCTGCGACAATGATTTGCAAGTAAAAAATGAAAAGTTTTGATAAAGGGAAGAACACTTTTTTGCTGTCAAATCCCAGCGTAAGTGCCTGTGCAAACATCTGAAATGAAAGTGCAATATGGTTTTAAAAGTAATGCTCTTGCTTCTGGGAAAACAAACTGCAGCATGATGACCAAGTAGCTATTAAAACAGGTCTTTGATAACGTTCTGGAGACGCCACAATCTGTTCTATAAAAAAAAAAAAAACTTTGCCAACCCTGAAGTATTATTACCCTTGCTATGTTCTTTACATATTTTAATATAACTACCATTCCATCCAGAGCAGGCTGCAGTGATCCTTAGTGGAGATGAAATAAGCCATCCATGGGACAGCTCACTCCAATGTGAACAAAGCTTAAAGGATAACTACTTTCAAAGAAAGTATAGTCTTCTTTTTGCCACTTTCCTCCACCCTAGATGTATGCTTGCCTGTATTAGGTCACCTTTGTGTTGTAGAACTCCATGGGGCCATCGTCTAATACAGAATTGCTTGAGATATGGGGTCCTACTACACTGGCCTGGTCAGAGAAGAGTAGATTTCATCTGGATTCTCTGAAAATTTGTGTGGGTGGTGGGCTTCCAATCCAGATACCTATGCAATTGGGGCAGGATGGGGAGGGGCAAAACGATAACTGTGCTTTCTGTGAAAGTCTATTTATCCTTTAATGGATACCTATACTAAAAGAAATATGGAAGCTGCTACTCCTGACCCCGATCTAAAAATACTTTTCTGCCTGCTATCTCTGGTTTCAGTACATACTGAGTTGATGACCCAAACATGCAGATTAAAAAGGTCAGAGTAAACCCACAACCCACAAACACATACTACTTCTAGGTTAGTACCTCAAAGTATTAAAGGCGTTGTATAAGCTTGGCAGTTAGTATTTTCTAAAAGAAAGGTTAGCAGTGGTAGTCCATACTTGCCTAGTACAGGTTTATATCAAATCAAACCTGTATACCATTTACAATATGCCAAAAGGCAGGGGGAGGAACCAGAAAAATTTTGCAAAAAGTCCGCTTGTCTGATGCAAACAAAATGCTATATTGGTGGCAATGCTAACACTGCTCATCTCCATGTTGATCCATAAGGTGGAGTAGCAATGTTGTAGAGATTAT